CTGAGACTTTATGATTTTCGTCTTTATTTTTATGAGTTGGTTTGTTAACTTTCTTTGTGGTTACCATGAATTTTACCCTTATCTTTATAGGTTTGAAGCAGTCTACCCTTACTTGGCATAGCCTTGCCTTCCTCTCCATTAGAAGGTTCTATACCTATGTATGGTCACTTTTTAAAACTATCATCATCATTCATACATTAACTAAAATATCATTTCTGGTTTTATCAACAGCATTTTTTTTTATAATGCCAAAAGTTAAACACAGCTTTATCAATGCCCAATACATGTGGTTGCTGCAGTTGACAGGTGTCATCAAGTCAATTCTGACTCATAGCAGCCCTATGTACAACAAAATGAAACACTGCCCAGTCCTACGCCATCCTCACAATTGTTACTATGTTTGAGCTAATTGTTGCAGCCACTGTGTCAATCCATTTGGTTGAGGGTCTTCCTCTTTTTCACTAACCCTCTACTTTACCAAGTATGATGTCCTTCTCCAGGGACGGGTCTCTCCTGATAATATGTCCAAAGTACCTAAAACAAAGTCTCACCATCTTCCCTTCTAAGGAGCATTCTCGCTGTACTTCTTCCAAGACAGATTTGTTAGTTCTTCTGGTAGTCCACAGTGTATTCAATATTCTTTGCCAATACCATAATTCAAAGGCATCAATTCTTCCTCAGTCTTCCTTATTCATTGTCCAGTTTTAGCATGCATATGAGATGACTGAAAATACCATGGCTTGAGTCAGGCACACCTTAGACCTCAAGGTGACATCTTTGCTTTTTAACACTTGAAAGAGGTCTTTTGCAGCAGATTTGCCCAATGCAATATGTCCTTTGATTTCTTGACTGCTGCTTTTATGGGCATTGAGTGTAGATCCAAGTAAAATGAAATCCTTGACAACTGCAATATCATGATCAGGTTAAATTCATGTGAGAGTGACCTGGAGGCTCTTTTTATTTCAGTAACTGAATCTGCTCCAGCATGATCCTATATTTTATGTTCGCTAATATATTAGATTTTCAAGTTCAAATAATATAATACCTTAGCACTGTGGTACTTGTGATGCTGGCTGATTTTGCAAGATTTAAGTAGCTTCATGAAAATAAGCATAAAAAATTCTGACTCTATATATTCCTACAGCCACGGAATAGACTGTCTCCTACTGACTATTACGGCAGCTGGAATCAACTCAAGGGCAATGGGTTACCGACTACTGTAATGTGATATAATGACAAGAATGTGATTTTTTTCTAAACTATTGCAGGATAATTTTAAGCA